AACCTCATTAAGTGAGCGGTAATCCACACACATCCGTTGACTACCATCCTTCTTATCCACAAAGATCACAGGTGCCCCCCATGGGGAAGAACTGAGGCGTATGAAACCTTTTTCTTGCAACTCTTTTAGTTGTTTCTTAAGCTCTTCTAATTCATTAACTCCCATTCTATATGGACGTTTAGCTATTGGTGCAGTTCCAGGTAATAATTCAATAATGAATTCAATGTCTCGGTCAGGTGGCATACCTGGCAAGTCATCGGGGAAGACATCTAGGAACTCCTCCACGACATGATCTCGTTCATTGACTTCACCATCTAGCTGATTCACTATGGCTGTAGGCTGAGCTTGCACTACTACTTCTACACAGATTCTATCTCCATTGAGTGATGTCACAACCACAGATTTCTCCTGACACCGAATCACCGCCTGGGTGTTGTTTCATCCAATCCATTCCGTGGATAAGATCAATTCCCATTGTTCTCAACACAATAGGCTTGACTTTGAAGTCCGCTTTATAAGGAAATGCTAGTTGAGGGCTCCAATAAGAAGCGGGCATACTACCTCCCGGGAATTCACTAATATGGGGTTTTCATGGCACACAAAGGTATGCTATGCATTCTAACAAAAGCTTGGGAGATAAAAGAATGCGAAGCACCGTAATCAAAAAGTACGGTAGCGAGGAAATAGAATTGACGTTGAACGTACCCAACATGACCTTAGGCGTCTCTGAGTGCATCGGATGACACATAGTTCACCTTCATTGTGTGAGGTGGTCGCGTTGAACTTCGATTGTTGGTCCGGTTCTCGAGGTGCTTGTTGGTTACGCTTCTTAGGACAACGATGAGCATAGTGACCTACTTCTCCACATCGATATGAGGCATTGGGATTGTTGGGTGCACCACTTTTCACAGAGCATTGTTGGGCACTCCTTGGCGTGTTGCGGGATTGCTAGTCTGCTATGGGGGACGCTGATTTCCAAACTGCTGCTTTGGTATCGAGGCGTTCTTGGAACCGGTTCCACCGAGGATCTTGCCCACGGTTTCCTGGTGAGTTGGTCCTTGATTCCTCTGCTTTGAAACCTTGGCCGGGATAAGCACGTGGGCGAGTGTTGCTTCCGAAGCTTGCCCTTGGAGCCTTCTCTTCTTAGCTTCCATCTCCTTGCGCTTATCATCAATCACGATTATGCGATTCACCAAAGACCGGAAGTTAGGATAAGTATTAGACATCACCGAGCTACAGATCCATCATAGAGTCCCTTGAGGAAACGGCGTTGCTTATCCTTGTCATTCGCTACATCATTAGGAGCGTAGCGTGATAGTTGTCTTGAACTTGTCCCGATACTCCGCCACGATCATTGATCCTTGCTTAAGAGATCTGAATTCTTCCCGCTTCAGTTCCACTAGTCCATCGAAATATGGTATGACCGAAATCGTCCTTAAATTCCTGCCAAGTGATAGCAGGAGCATTGTTGGGACGTCCAAACTGGAATGATTCCCACCAATCTGAAGCGAGCTCCTTGGAGTTGCCGGAAGCGCATAACACCTTCTCAAGGTCGTTGCATTGTGCTATGTTCATTTTGCTTCTCCACAAAGACGCAACCAATCATCTCGCCTCCATAGGGTCTCAAGCATAGGTGAACACCGGTGGTCGACCTTTCATGAACTCTCCACGCTTATCTCGACCAACAGTGTGGTCCTCTTGGGTTCATTGTCCAAGCGCCGCATCATAGCTTGCATCGGTTAAGCTTGCATTCCTAATATCTCTGCTTCCATGGTCACAGTGGCGGTGGTGGATTTATAAGAGCATCACACCCACGACCACGGCCTCTCCTCCTCTTCCTCCTCTTGCGCCATCTATTTTCCAACAAATGTGCAAAATTTAGAGATTTTCCAATTATAGAGAGCTTACAAAAGATAAGAAACAATGCCGAGAATTTTTCGGACAAGATTCAAATTCATGAGTTCAAGAAACTGTTGTAACTCGAGTTTCAGAGATCCAACAGAGGTGCACCAAGATTTGTTAGAAAGCTTAGGAGACTAGCTACAACTTTCATTTAGATCACTTTTACAAACGAAAACAGTTCAAATGGCATTTCTGTAATTACTGAAAACATATTTTTGACTTAAGCCGTGGAGTTTACGCTTTCCAAACGAGATTGCGCATTCGTGAAATACGCTTTGGGCTGCGGGTTAGGACTTAGAAAAGTCGAGGACTCTTTAGCAAAATTACCCGCGAAGGGGTAACTTCTAATCCTGGCCGTTGATCTCACGATGGGTGGCTAGGATCGGCCTAGGGAGGGACGGCCGGCCAGAACAGGGTCACCGGCGGCCAGGCGCCATTGCCAGCGACGTGGAGGTCACGCGAGTGCATGCGATTATGGTCTAGGGTTCACCAAATGGACATCCAAGGGCACCGGTGGCGCTGGGAAGAAGGGGATCGCACCATGCCGTTTGGTGGTGGGAACGGCTGCTATGCGGTGGCCGCCATGGCCGGCGACCATGGCTCATGAGTCATGGCCAAGGCTCGAGAAGCCAAGAAACGAGAAATGAAAAGCATGGGAGGAGAGGGAGAGTGCGGCGATGCTCACCGCGGAAAACCGGAGCGGAGGCGGCTCGGTGATGAGGTTCACGCGAGGCGGGACGGCGGAGCTCGGAGACCTCGGCTGCGGCGGTTGCGGCCTTCCTCGGTGCTTGGCAAGAGCGAAAACGAGGCGGGCGGGCGGGTGCGCGCGGGGTCGGGCTGCTATTTGAAGCGGCCGAGGCACCGGGGGCGCGCTCCACCACGCCGTTCATGGGCGACAGTTGCTTGCCAGGCAGGGCGGTTCCGAGGCACGCTGAAAAAGACGGCGCCGACAAGCGGGCCCAGTGGCAATCAATTAGGCATGGGCTGCGGCGGTTGTTACTGGCCAGCTGCTAGGCCGAGCTGGCAGCCTCTTCAATTTGCGCCTTCTTTGGCCGCCGCAATTCTTTGGGGCCTTGCGCAATTTCTTTAAGCCGAAAAGGAGAGGGGAGCTGGGCAGTGATTTGCTGTGGGAATAGCTCATGGGCGAAAACAAGGATGGGGAGGAGATGTTCATTTTCCTTTTATTTTCCACACAAATTTTCCCAAAGGCATTTTCAAATAATTTTTGAATTCATTTGAACTCTAACTCAAGAACAATCATCACATGAATAAATATTGCAGCAGTATGTATGCATCAAAAGTTTCAAATCTTATAATTGATTTTAATTCCCCAAAAATTATTAGTTTCCTATAATTGAATGCACACTTAATAACATAATTAAATCAAATTTACTTATTTTAAAAGAATGAAAAATTTTGGGTGTTACACCAAGGAACCGCAACCGACCACCCATAACGCAGAGCGCGGAGCCTGTAGCACGTGTAAGGAGAAGCCGGAGACTGGGCCATCTCTGGAGGCGTCCGAGCATCAACATGACTATTTAGGGGTTCGGAAAATTGTTTAGAGAGTAAACATGGAGAAAACAACTCGGAAAAATATTATGACGATATACGAAGATAAGATAATATTTAGAAAAATATTAAAGCGTGATTTAGCTTTAGACAAAATGTCTGGTCGGCGACGTATGACGTTATCTGGTCGGCGACGCGGGCAGCTCGGATGCCAAAAACGCGATGTGTGCGTGCGCCTTGCACGGCTCGGGCATATGCACGTACATGCAGGCCTAATTTGCATGTTAGCTTACCTGGCTTTTGGTCTTGCTTGCGTCATCTTCATGGTGCTGTAGATCGTATGTCCTTGTTGTTTGCCTGGTGATTGTGACGCCATGATAATCCGATAATCTGCTGCTCTGGATGATCCAATCTTGGCTCGTGCAGGTGGCTTGTAGCATCCGCGTAGCAAGAAGCCAAGATCGGTTTGGCTTGCATGTTGCTGCACACGCATCTTCATGTTGTCGGATTGACTTCTTGATTGCTGAGAAACGGAGAAGGCGGCGTTGTAGATTGGCTTGCCCTCTGGCTCTGCGTGAGGTCTTAGATTGACCCCACGTCTTCTCGTACGAATTGCTTCGGGATGCCGTGTTGACGACAGGAACAGTGACTGAGTTGTGGATGAGGATCGCCGCGGGATGTTGTCACGCACGACGTTAAACGCCGCCACCAAATCGTTGTAGATATTATTGATGTTCAGGTCCATCTGGCTTGTCATGGGATCAGCACGCACACCCCTACCTGGCGCGTCAACTGTCGACAGAATATCGTCGGCAGTCCTCCGAGGGGTATCCCACGAAGGTAGATTGATCGACAGAGGAGCGCGAGATCAAGAACAAGAAGGCAATAGAGACACAGGCAATAGAGACACACGAGTTAGATAGGTTCAGGCCGTCAGTATGACGTAATATCATACTCCTGTGGTCTGTTGGTTTGTATTAGCTATCGTATGATATTGCGTACCCCACACTGGTGCAAAGCGCGCCGCCGTGGCTGGTCCGGCGTGGGCCAGACCAGCAGCCAGCCCAGTGGCCCCTCCTCCAGCGAGCAGCGTGGCGCGGCCGGCCCATCCCGCAGCTGAATAAGGGCATGTTTTTTGTTGGCTACGTGTGAATTTGATTGATGGCAATGGGGACAAGCAGGTTGAGGAATTGACTGCATTGCAGAACAACCGACTAAAAATTTGCCTGCGACAAGTACGTGTGACTTTTGCCACCGTGATCCTTAGCATTAGTATTTTTGTTTTGAGTAGTTGCACCAATAGACATCTAAACAAGACATAGCATCACTGTTTTCTTTGATATGATGTCCATGTGAGTGTTAGTACTGTAAGCAATCGCGCCTAAGATCGGTGACACAAATATTCACTTTAAGTTCCTTCCCCTTGCTACACTGCCTTGCATGTTGTTCCAAACATGTTGATCCAAAGTGCAGGTTATTACTCATGTTTCTTGCTGTGCAAACAAGGCTATAATTTGGTCAACGGAAAAAAACAATGCTAAATTTATTGCCTGCTGATGTTTTCCGTGTAACTTTTATGTTTGCAGGTTATTTGCAAATACCCAAGAAGAAAGTTATATGCACATGGACTTGGTAAGTTCTGTGCTTCTATTTAAGTTCTGTGCTTCTATTTTATAGTTCTACTAGGTAGCGTATCCGTACGTTGCTACGGGACAATTAAATCTTTTGTACTTAAAGTACACGGATTGCACGATAAGATAACAATACTGTTAAATTAAATACCGACGTCAAAGTGACATTTAATTCAAAAAGCAAAGTTCGTGAAATTAACACAGTCACGGAGAGCGCGACGTTGCAGGCTCACAAACTCTACTGTATAGACTTTTTCGTGATACGACTAAGATAATATTTTATATCAGCAGAAAGAATTCTACGATACCCATTTCTTTCATGAGTCAATAAATCCATGAATAAGTTCCACTGCATCTCTATATAATCATGTACACATAGGTTCGAGTACATATGTAAATAGATTCGTGCATGTGCGTTGCTACGGGACAGTTCAACTTTTGTACTAAAAACACACGGATCGCACGATAAGATAACAATACTGTAAAAGTATATGACCGATGTTAAAGTGACATTTAATCCAAAAAGCTAAGTTCGTGAAATTTACACAGTCACAGAGAGCATGACGTCGCAGGCTCACAAACTCTACTGTGTAGACCTTTCCGTGATGCGGCTAAGATCATTTTTTATACCGGCAGAAAGATATTTCCGATATCTATTTCTTTCGTGCGCCAACAAATCCACGAATAAGTTCCACCACATCTCCATGCCATCCTGTACGCGGCGCTGACAAGCAAATTAGCCACAACTTATGTAATTAGTTTTATAATTAGTTCATGTTTAGTCCTCCTAATTAATATCTAAAAATTCAATGTGATAGGGACTAAAGTTTAGTCCTGAGATCCAAACACTCCCTAACTCTCGACTTCTGCTGGCTGCTCACTTGCACCACCATGCCTATGTGTCTGCACGTATATACTCTAATGCCAGAACGTTTAAGATGGTCTTTATTGTCCACCCTTTGAAAATATCATAACTTTAATGTTGCCATTTATGTATGCTGTAGGATTAGGATGCTTTGCACTGATCCATGAGGATGTCCATGAGAGTCGAAATTTTTGATGCCATTATGATGTCTAAACTTACCAGTCAGACAGAGACGAACTTGATTGTTAAAATATTTTCAACACTGCTTTCATATACTCCCTCTGTCCCAAAATAGAATTCATTCTCGCTTTCCGAGAAGTCAACTTTTTTTAACTTCGACCAATTATATATAAAAGAATATTAATATTTATAGTACATAATTAGTATCATTACATAGACCATTGAATATATTTTCATAATAAACTTATTTAGAGATATAAATGTTGCACATATTTTTACAAACTAGTCAAAGTTGAGAAAGTTTGACCTGCACACATCCTATAACGACTTATATTTTGAGGCAGAGGAAGTATATGCTAATGGGAGTAGTCAACTGGAAGTCGTGATGAACACAACAATACTTACATATTATATGCTAATTGGAGCACGAAGAAACGCAGGGGAATGGACCTATATACGAATGGTGGGAATATTCGTTTAGAAAATTACAGAAGGTTCACCAGTCTCACCATGTATAAGTATAACCTGCACATCTTTTATTTGGCACCACTGATGTTTTCAAGGAGCAGCCACTTTTTAATTTCAGGTCTACATGCTGAAAACACTAAAATTAAGGGCCAACCTCATTGAGTCGTCTTGCTTGATCTTTGCCGATTGTTTTTTCTTCCATGCATGATTATTGTTTCCTTCCATGCATGTGGCCTCAGGTGATCAATTTGTTTCCTTCAAAGCAGGCGGGGATCGCAGGGATGGCAGTTTCCTTTTCTATCATGCGGGGTATCACATGGCCGGAAGGGAGGAGTCTTGCTTGATCTTTGTCAATTGTTTCCTTCTATGCATGATTATTGTTTCCTTCCATGCATATGGCCTCAGGTGATCGATTTGTTTCCTTCAAAGCAGGCGGAGATCGCAGTGATGACAGTTTCTTTTTCTATCGTGCGGGGTATCGCATGGCCGGAAGAGAGAAGTCTTGCTTGATCTTTGCCGATTATTTTCTTCCATACATGATTATTGTTTCCTTCCATGTATGTGGCCTCAGGTGATTGATTTGTTTCCTTCAAAGTAGGCGGGGATCGCAGGGATGGTAGTTTTTTTTTCTATCGCGCGGGGTATCGCATGGCCATAAGGGAGGTGCGACCCAAAAAAAGTTGCACCAAAAAATAATCTTACTTTTAGTCTTTTTAGTTGTAGGATATTCCTATCATGGTAGCATGGCGATGACACGATTCTGTGGTTTGCACATGCAAGTGAGAACGTGATCCTTCTAGTTTTATGTTCTAATACAATTTCTGTAAAATGAACCTGTGCTTCCTCTTATTTTCTATAAGATCTTAAAGAATTATTATGCTGTCTTGGGTTGGAAATATATCATCACAGAAACAAAAGGCAGCCTGCAAAGCCTTTCTTTTATTTGTAATACAGAGATTATGCAGGTAAGCTTCTGTTACTGATTTATTCATCTTCCTCTAGGGTGCTGAGTTTGAGCTTGATAGCATCAAGAAATTGTCAAAGGAGTCTGCAGAAGCAAATGAATTGGCCCTTGCAGGTGCCTGTCAATTTTCACTGTTGGATATGTGCATTTTCTTCTCCTTTTATGTAAAACTGTTGGGTGACAAGATAGATGAAGTCGTCAAAGAATGGGATGCCCAGAAGGAGGGGTTCTACGAGAGAACAGGATTATCCCGTGGCGATCAGCTCATGGTGATTGACAATGATGAATCGGGAGTACCATATCACGACGGATCCCGTGGCAATAATCAGCTCATGGTGATTGACAATGATGAATCAGGAGTACAAAATCACGAGGGCGATGATTTTGATGAGAGTTAGATCAGCTGCTAGAGTGAAGAACGTCTCGTAAACTTTTACTATCGTATAACCCTGCTGTAATTCAGCATACTACGAGATAAAATCCTTGATCGTCTTTACTTTGGTTAATTGCAATGCATTTGTGAAAAATTTTATGCATTTGATAAGCTCAATTTATTGTAATATATTTGTGTACTTAATTATGTGTCCTTGTATGTATTGTTATGTGTGAATTTATTTACTTAATATTACTCCAAATATACAACAGACAAAAAAAACTCTACATCTTAATTTTTTCGCCAGAGGTAAAACGGTTATTTACCCTTGACTTAACATTGTCAACTGACAAAAACGAATGAAAGACCATAGAAGGAATGAAATTTCGTTTCAGGGCCATATAGGTAAGTTCAAAAAAAAAAAAAAGAGCCACACAAGGAAGATGTATTTTTTTCGGAGCCATACAGGTAAAAAGCTCTAATTATTAACCTGCAAATATATATCACAAGAAATGATCGTATCTAGCGTTTGCTAATTCGATCAGGAGAGATGCCGAAAGCGAAGCTGGAATTCGTTTCAAAAAAAAAAGCGAAGCTGGAACATTTTATGCACCGTCTAGACTAGAATTCCTGTAAATACCAGGATTTGTCGTACGTTGCTACCAATATATTTTTCCGACGAGAAATGAACGTCACGCGTGAACATTTACTTTGTTTGAAATTTTGATGGACGACTCCCGGGCATCAGGATCCCCATCATCGACAACAACGCATGCATGCACGGGCGCGACATATATATATTATATATACATAAATACTAGTAGTATAAAAATAGGAGCACGTTTCGAATTGACGGAGCTAGCTGTGTGCGATCAAACCAAAAGCTTTATAGGCTCTAGCTACTACGGTCGTGATCGACGGCGACGGGTCAAGCAGCTAAGCTAAGGGCGCGTTTAGATCCGAAAATTTTTGGGTTTGGGTACTGTAGTACTTTCATTTGTATTTGATAATTAGTATTTAATTATGGACTAATTATGTTCGAAAGTTTGATGGACGATTTCTCACATCATTAGATTTTTTTTACATCATTTAGATTCAACAACGTCATGATTCATGTACATCTTCAGGCGGCTTTTGAGGATATATATTTAGATTGAAATATTTTTCAACCTATGAATACTAGTTTTCGTATAAAAATATTGTCCAATCGTTTCTAATTGAAAAGATTCATCTCTGATTTCCATCAAACCAAAAGTAATTAGTTATTTTTTTTTACCTATATTTAATACTCCATGCAAACGGCTAAAAATTGATGTGATGGAGAGAGAGTGAAAAAACTTGGAACTTTGATGGGATCTAAACAAGGCCTAAACGGGGCCTAAGCTAGTTTCTACAGCCGCCTTGGCACTTCAACGTCTATTCGTTCTCGGATAAGAGGAAGACGAGGACCAGGGCCCAGGGGGTGAAAAATGCAGAGAGAGAGAGAGCAGCTTTGATGACGTGCTATACGACTCGACCGAGAGAAAGGTAGGAAGAGAAGAAAGAACCTGACCTCGAGCGATGGATGGAGTTTCGTCGCCGTCGTCTCCGCACGCTTTGCCTTTGCCTTTGCGTTATTCTCCGTGCGGGGGAAACTGGCAACGTCGCTGGAATTTCAATTCAAGCGCGCGCGGTGCAAGGGTCTGTTTCTTCTGAACTGGGTCAGCGCGTGGGCGTGGCATGGTGGTGCCTTGGGCCGTGGTCGGCAAGGGCCACTAGTGACCTAGAATGGGCCGTGGTTCCCAGTTTCGGCAGGCCAGCCGGCAGACTTTTTTTGGGGGTGGGCTGTTTGGGTGGACCAGGCCCAGACCAGTAATGCTGTGGTCTTGTTGGGCCACGTCGCCTGTTGGAAACAAGTAAGCTTTTTTTTTTTAAGAAAAGGAAAACAATCGACCGAAATGCATTATGGGCAATCCGATTTCAGACTTGGCCACATACTAGTTTGAGTTGTTCACTTTTGGTTCTATATGCGCAAACCCTTCTGATCATTTTATCCCACTGTTTCAAACTCACTAGGTGTTTGCAGCAATTTATGGAGTGTCAAAGCATCTTCACTAGATATCATATACATCCTATATATACCTAAAAAATTAGTTTAGGAGATGGAGGTGCTGGAAGAGATATCATATCTCATCTTCTATGCCTATAAATTTTATAAGGTATTTTCTAAAAACAATATTTTTTCTCCTAAATAAAGGAGACAACCCTCTCTCATCCATTCCTAGAGAAATATATATGAGAGCATCTCCAAAAGTTCTCAATAAAGCATTCCAATCTAGAATTATTAGCAAGAATAGAAAAAATCCATCTTCAAGTGTTTATAGTCCCACCTCCCAATCTTTTAGCGATCGGAAAAAATCACCGAACGCGCGGATATATCCTCGCGCCTTCCACGCATATCCTCCTTTTGCCAATCTAAGATGGAAGGACGTGGAAAAGAATAAAGAGTAGAAAATGATTTTTTATGCAAATGCACAAGAGGAAAAAATATATAAAAGTGGTTAGGATAATTCAGATTTAATATATGATTTCTGATGTAAAATTTTCTTCTGTGTTTTAGAAGTAAATTATTGGAAACTGATGGAGATAGTCTTATTTATTCCTCCAATACTTTTTGGCGAGTTGAAAAACTCCATGGTTTGGGAAGAAATTCTTGGAAACTTTTGAAGATGCTCTAAGTTTACAATAATAGTCTATTATAATTAAAATTAATGTTAAAGTATTGTCTAAAACATCTTCAATGTAAGAGATCTAGTGAAGTTGCTCTTAAATTCTTATCTTAAACTCACCCCAATCATAAAAAACATGCATGTGGCTACGTTCACCAAAAACTTTAAAACTAAAAATACCATGTTCATTTTGAAAATATGCAAGCTATCTACATAGAACTATTGAAAGCATCTGAGCAAATTCATAGATTTTAAGAATTACTCCTACAATAATTATAGGGAAATGTAGCGGTCCAAAGACAGAGTATATAGGGAAAATAAAATGCTTGGAAATATTTTTGACAGGAGGCAATATCTTTCATCATTCATTCATTCATCCATCAGTAGGGCTGGACAAAATACTCATGGCTCGCCATCTTGCTCGACTTGTGGCCGGCTCAGCTCCGCTCGACTCGGTTCGTTTTAACTTTTTCACGAGTTGAGCTGGAAGTCTAGCTCGCTATTTTAACGAACCAACTCGCAAGCTGCTCACGGGTTGAAACGAGCTAAGGCCTATCAGCCCACGACCATGAATCCAGAAGATAATGATACTGACCTAGAAGTGTACACATATTCTATTGGTATGTAATCCTTATTTTTAGCTGTTTCATATGAATTTTAATTTTATAATTATTGTGGTACTTAAATATTGATTTTATGGATTGTTTTTCAGGGAGAAGATGATGATGCTGACATTAAATCTGTAGACTTTCCTAAGTTTGTGATAGCAAGCAACTATAGATGAACCAGCTATATTGTATGGTTGATACTTTTGATGAACTTGATATGTATTAATCATGTATGGTTGCATAATGGTGGACGTCACTTTCTGGAATTAATGTAGCATAAACATTATAAACATATGTGTCATATTTTTTTTAGCTCGCGAACTAAACGAGCTAGCTCGAGCTCGATAACAAACCGAGCCGAGCTGTCCATCTAGCTCGTAATATTAACAAGCCGAACCGTGCTGGCTCGTTAACCTAACGAGCTAGTTCGAGCTGCATCGAGTCGAGCCGAACTGGCTCGATATCAATCTCTATCCATCAGGTTCCTATATACCATCCCTCACTGGACAGCAGGACCCGCCGCCCGAAAGACACGGTGCAAAATCCCCGGAACGCCGCGCGCGGGGCGGCCGATGTCCAAAACCCTAAACCCCCCTTCCAGGCTTCCACGGTTCCCCCCAATCTATCCTCTCCGCTCCGCCCCTCTCTTTCTTCTTCACCAAGGCCTCCCAACCCCCTCCTCCTCTGCTCCGCTGAGTCCGCTCCCTCCGGTCCATGCGCCCGCGCCCCTGAGCAACCAGGCTGCCGGAACCCTACCCGGCGCCCCGTGATGCCCCTGCGGCCGTCCCTCCACTCGCTGCTCCTCATGGCCGCCTCCGCCTCGTCCTCCGCCGCCGCGGCCGGCGGGGACTCGGGCCTCCTCCTCGCCGCGCGCCGCCGCCTCGCGGCCACGGCCACCGCGGGCGGCCACCGCATCCGCCTGCTCCACTCCTTCTCGCCGGGACGCGTCCCCAGGCGGCCCAAGGTAGCCTGCTGCATGCGCGGCGCCCCGGACACGCGGCGGTCGGCCCCCGCCCCACTGCGCTCCAGGAACGGTAATTCGCTGGGCCCGCTCTGGAGCACTCGTTCGTTGCTCTGTGTCTTTCCTTTTTCTTTAATATAATAGATAGAAAAGTTGGACTGGATGTGTCACGGCTTTGGATTGCAGCGCCCTGTTTGGAGCCTACCACTGTACCAGTGGATGAACCACATTGTGTTGGGCAGTTCAGCAGTTGTACATTTGTATTGTATCCAAGCAATGCTACTCAGATTAGCTGGTCGTGTTAGTGTCTAATTGTGGTAGAAAATATGACATGATGCCCCCACCCCCCGTAAGTGTCAGTAGGCTAGAGTAGTATTTCTGACAGTATCACTGGAGTACTATTTCGGGAAGCAATATTTACATCGCAAGGTTATCTGTACAACTGTTAGATAGCTCAGCTCCTCTTCTAAGGTCCTTTGTAGAGCCATCAAATATCCTGTGATTCTTGTGGCAACTACACATTTGATATTAAATCCTGCTTTTTTTATTATTTACACTGAGTTAGTCAATATAACAATATGTATGTTGAAGATGAGGTAAGTAGTAGTATAGTAATAAATACTTATACCTGCGAGTTGCTTGCCTTTCTGATACTGTTAGTCGTGAGAGCTTGCAGGCTCTCGTTTTATTGATTGCCTCTTCAATCCATGTAGCTAAAGCTACAGCTTTCTTAGCCACAAGGCTTGTAACTCTGCCTGCAATTGGATGTTCATCAGAATGCAGTGAGGCAGTGTGTAGGCTCAAAAAGTCTGAAAATCTGTAACTGTTATTACACGTCCAATTATCACCGTGGGATATACTGTTTGTGGATAAGTGGCAAACCTATATTCATGGCCTTGGTACCACATCTCACTTCTTGAGACAAAATCACAGAAGCTTTTGTTTCAGAGAAGCAAAAGATTCAAACTTCTTTAGGCCCTTTTGTTTCTTTGGCTTTTGAAGCCAAAAGATTCAAACTTCTTTAATTTGTTCGGTTTACTTTTATTGTATTTCTTTTTTATCAGAAAAATGGTAGTGAAGACTAATAAAAAGCTCTTCCATAGTTGTTTCAAGAGAGATAAAGATAAAAGGTATATTTTATACTTGTTTAACCAAACAAGATTTTCTCCAAATGACTTTTTTTTCCACGTGCATTCAACCAAACAATGTCCTTCGGTTTACTATTGTATTTCTTTTATCGTAGTAGTGAAGACTAAAGACATCACGAAATATGGCACGATTCCAAATGACTTCTGCATTCGAAATGTCCCGACAAGTGAAAATAGAGATACTGAAAGCGAGGATAGGATACCTATATTTATTTAGCTAGCAAGATATTATCTCTTGTGATACTTAGGGGCATTGATCACCAAGGATTGCTGGGAACGGTTTTCTCTGTCCATTTAAGCTTGGCTAACTTGACTTCTCTGATGTGCCTCAGTGCCTGCTGCTGGACCATGCCCTTTCACATTCTTCAGCTATCTGCAGTTCTTGCTGGCAATCTGTCGAGCACATGGTGTGCAGGAGCTGCTTAGCAGCAGCGTGTACACTGCTCGTTCCCCTCCTTGGACAAGGACACAGTGGAAGGGCCTGGCTGCCAGTGTGTCTGGGTGCACATCGTGCAAGTGGGAGAACGTGGCTGCGACACTTGGCAAATCGAGAAGCGGAGGCAGCAGCGGCTGAGCAGTGGAGACAGAGGCGCGGTGGCGCTATCTCTGCACCGCAGCCTGTCTCCCAGACAGCCTGACTGCCATTGCAGCCGTGATGGAGGAGACGCATGGCACAGATGCAAAGAAGGGAGCGCTGGTTCTATATCCCTGCCTACGCTGCTTCATTGAGTGAAGTAACTGATGAGGTAGGGTGTAAGAGCCCTGTTGGGAGGGGGCCCTTAGTGGTGTGACGGCTAGGGTTTGGGGGGCTGAGGGCGGCGGCACAGGGAGGGGGCGGCGGCGCTAGGAAGAGGGAGAGAGGGAGTTGGCGCAGGAGAGGGAGAGGAGAGAGGGATAGGAAGGAGCAATCGCTCTTCTATTACTTGATTTGATTGATTACATCCCCCTAGTATTTATAGTCCCTATTGGACTTGTGTTCCAAGCAACTTACGAGAGATCCTTATAGATTGGATTTTCCCTTCCATAACTAACCAAATTCTAATATGGCAAACTAACCAAACTCTGATATGGTAACTCCTTCCCGGAGACGGCGGCGGCGCCCCTCCTGGCGCGCGCAGCCCCTCTAGGGCGCGCTGGAGGTGCCCGGCACCCCTCCTTGGGCCTCCCTCGGCCCGTTTACTCTAGGTTGGGGGGCCTCCATTAGACGCATGACACCCCCCCCCTTCTCCACTCGGCGCACGTCCTTGTGCCGAAGTAGTGTCCAATCGTTGACACCATTGGGTGGGAAAGCTTGTCCGGGTTGGATGGCCTCGATGCGGGCGAAGATGCGGCCGTAGACGGGGTCGGAGATGATGATGTTCTCCCTTGTGCGTGTTGGCGTGAACTCGAAGTTGTAGTGGAGGTTCCCGATGTAGCCGTAGAAGAAGTAGTTGTGCGCTCCAGTATCCGTGCTAGCTCGTGTCGCCTGGCGGGCAGCGACAAGGAAGGGACGGGGAATTGCTGCCCTGAAGGTGAAGTGCAGCATCTCCCTTGGTGGCGCGACGAAGTCGTGGATGCTGTTGTCGGCGTCGGGGGCGAGGTAGGCAGGGACGCGGCGCCAAATTGTGGCGCTAGAGCGTGTCGATGGCGTCGTTGTCAAGTTCAACATGGTGCCAAACATGAAGTGGCCCAAGTCAAACTCGCCTGGCGAAAGACGGTGTATGTTGGAGTCGGGCCGTAGGGCGATGTGGACGTTGCCGATGCGGACGAGTTGACGGCTCAAGTTGTCGAGGAAGACTACCGTCGTAGATGGTATGGGGCGCCCCTGTAGCCATGGGCGTCCAAGCAAGACGCTGGTAGGGACCCCGTTATGTTGGCCCGCCGTTGGTGGGGGTTGGGAGCCGAGCGCCAAGAGCTCCATGTTCGCGGAACCACCTTGGCGTAGGACCTATAGAAGATCAGGCAGGAGCGACGATGCTGCTTGACCGTCGAAGAAGAGGAGGCCCTGGTCTACGACCAAGCCTGAGCGGCTATGCCATCTGCTATGGCCATGGCGATGGTGCGTAGCTCCCGTTGTTGAAGTGTAGCTCGGCACAGATGCTCGAGAATGACGTTGGTGGTGTCCATGTAGTCGAGGGCGTTGGGGCGACGGGACCGGCTCGCCCGGTTCGTGATGCGGTGAGGTGGCAATGATGGTGCCTGTGGCGGTGCTGGCTGCTCCCATGGTGCCAGTGTGATAGGCGCTGGCGCTGGTAGGGCGAGGACGTGCTGTGGAGCACGTTGAGGAAGGATGGTGGTGAAGGAGATGGGGCGCCCGTCGCGGTAGTACTGCAGCTCCATGGCGGAGAAGTCCCACGTGAGACGGCCAAGGTTCGCCAACCACGGCGGTCCTAGGACGATGTCGATGTCGTTGTGCATGGCGGCCATGTTGATCAGTATGTGGGTGCCAGTGCCCAACACTGCTCCTGCAAGGTACATCGAGCGGCAGTCGCGAATAGCGGACTGTGTCGTACCTATCATCATGAGGAGGCTGTCGTCGATGTTGTTGGCGTCGTAGTCGTTGATGGCCGTGATGTCGAAGAGATGCATGCACTTGAGGCCGCGGGTGAAGGGCTCATCATAGTTGAAGCATAGCCCCGATAGGCGGCGTGACGCCATCTCCTCGGCGGTGAGGCGCCGTGGTGGAACTAGCGGTGTCATTGTTGTAGATGCCGGTGCTGAGGTTGTCGATGAGGGCACCTTTAGGGCCAACGGTCGGTTAGCCGACTTGGAGGCCGCTGACTTGTTGGCGTCGGAGATCACTGCTAGGCGTCGTTCGTACGCCCTAGCGAGGGACATGGTCATCTCCATGTCCTGCAGGTTTTGGAGCTCGACGTCGGTCTGCAGGGGCTCGAGTAACCCGGCGGTGTAGATGTTCACCTGCTGCTGTTAAAAAAGATTGCTCGGCACGAACCCGCGTCGCCAGAAGCGCTCCGTGTAGTCGTCGACGATGCCGGTCTTGTGCAGGGACATGAGCTCTCCCAGTGGGTTGCGCCGGGTAGGGGGGCCGAAGCGGCGCATGTACCACTGCTGGGTGCCGCCTGTCAGACGATAAGATGCATACCAGAGGTTGTTGTTGTAGCCGAAGGTGGCTATAGCCATGGTTGATGTTGATGTGGGCGCTACGCAGATTTCTCCCGAAATTAGTTTGGGATCTGCTATCGGTTGAGGGAGTTGTGAGGAGGGCGTTGTTTTGATGGTGCTCCTCCTTTGTACGCGTGATCTCCGGAGTGGTGAGTTCCGGTTGAGGTGGGTCTGCTATTGGAGGAGAATTTTCGCGGCGAGCGAAGAACTCATCAAACTTTTTCCAATTATCGAGGACCTTGTGGATGTCGTTTTCGGCGTCCACCTTAGGGCGTGCACGCTCGATGTTGTCTAGGCGAGTGTTGAGATTGTCGAAGTTCGCGTTGATCTCGTCAAAGCGGTAGTTCATGAAGGTGGAGAAGGTCACGATCTGCTTCCTCACGTCGTCGATCATGGTGGTGGTGGCCATCGGATCGATCTGGTCTCCGGATACCATGTGTAAGAGCCCTGTTGGGAGGGGGACCTTAGTGGTGTGACGGCTAGGGTTTGGGGGGCGAGGGCGGCGGCACAGGGAGGGGGCAGCGGCACTAGGAAGAGGGAGAGAGGGAGTTGGCGCAGGAGAGGGAGAGGAGAGAGGGATAGGAAGGAGCAATCGCTCTTCTATTACTTGATTTGATTGATTACATCCCCCTAATATTTATAGTCCCTATTGGACTTGTGTTCCAAGCAACTTACGAGAGATCGTTATAAATTGGATTCTCCCTTCCATAACTAACCAAACTCTAATATGGCAAACTAACCAAACTCTGATATGGTAACTCCTTCCGGGAGACGACGGTGACGAGAGCGGCGGCGCCCCTCCTGGCGCGCTGGAGGTGCCCAGCGCCCCTTCTTGGGCGTCCCTCGCCCGTTTGCTCTAGGTTGGGGGGCCTCCATTAGCCATATGACATAGGGCCTCATGGCGCCGGCGGGAGCGCCTCGAAGGCTGTAGCAGCGAGGGGCAGGCACCAACAGGCAAACGGAGGTGGGAGGTGATGCCAAGTGCTGCGAGCGTCCGGCAAAAGGGGGAGGAGGCACGACGGCCCAGTAGGCGGGAGATGGCATGGGCGGCGGGGATGCAGAGTAGACAGAGGGCGACACGACGCGGAGCATGTTCACGATTGTTCGAGTTGCAAAGAAACGGGTGGAAACCCAAACCGAACTACGATTGAACGGACGTCATTGCGAGTTAGCCAGATCGGACGGCCAGAGGACTAACGGGTGACGTGGCCCGATCCGCTTGCCTGGTTTTGGGGGCGGGATTTGTATAGTAAAAGATGGTAATTTCCATGTTTGATGTTTTATTTATTGTTTTATAGCCCCAAGCGAGCTCACACTTGAAAAAAAATGCTTCGAACTCCACTTCTTCCTATTGGAATTGTAGCAGAACAGCTCGATGCACGTGCTTAAATGTTTTTTAGAACTTCAAGTTAAATGGTGTTAGCCTGTTTGACGTCTATAAATTAAATTGGTGATATGCGCTGACTAGGCCTCAAAGTTTCATTGTTTCTGCAGTTCCGGTGCTCTCCTCTACTTAGGCTGCTACTTTTAAAAAAAAATTAATTGCTTATAAGTTATAACAACTGGATGCAGAATCATCTGTTTTTTTAATCGATGTGCTGTGTTTTCGCATCACAGTTCATTCAGCAAGCAACTATGCAGCTGCTTCTGAGAGACTTGGGCAGCTCATTCAGAAATTGAAAAACAAAGGTATTAATCCCAAGCAGTGGAGACTTGGAAATTTCCAGCGCATGTTGTGCCCACAGGTTTGTAGCTTCTGTTTGTTACAACCTTGTGCTGATTCCAGTTTACCGTCTTTTCTAGCTTTGTAACCAAGCAGTCAATCTGATTTAAGAAATGAGTGATAAGAAATTGTTCCACAGAAGTGACACATCTCTAAATCATCCATTCAAAATTACTTGATTCAAGATAACATTTCAACCCACACGCAATACTGATGTATAATTTCTTTTTAGTGATCCATTGCATTTCGGATTGGAAATGAATGATAAGAAATTGTTCCACAGAAGTGACACATCTCTAAATCATCCATTCAAAATTACTTGATTCAAGATAACATTTCAACCCACACACAATACTGATGTATAATTTCTATTTAGTGATCCATTGCATTTCGGGTTGTTGAGCTATCTAGCGACAAATAATGAAGTAAACTTTCCTTCTTTTCGCTAGTGCAATGGTGGATCTAGTGAGGAGTTGAGTCTCAGCGTCTTCATCCGAAAGGACGGGTGAGTTGTCCACACCTGAATATGTGATTTTCTTTGTCTGTTGTTTCTTCAGCTATATATTTCAGGATCTAACTATCATCTGACGTTCCTTGTATGTCATTTCTTCAGTATGCATGCAACATGGAACTGTTTTAGATCTAAATGTGGCTGGAGAGGTTTTATCCAGGTGCGTACATGAATCGAATGAAACAAAAATTGAAGTTAGAAACCATCTTGATTTCACTCTCTCTCTCTCTCTCTCTCTCTCTGCAGGCTGATGGAGTTACCAACATATCCCAAGGAAAGACTGGCATAGAAAGTGAAACTGACCAAGAGGTTGAAGCTAAGAAGACAGCAAATAAGGTTTACAGAAAAGTCATTGAAGAGGACCTCAATCTTGAGCCACTTTGTGATGAGGTAATTAACTAATGCTACTTGTGTCAAAGTGGTGTTTTGTAAACCATAAAAAAAATTAAAACCCAGTTCAATGTTATTTTACTTTGATGTAAATTGAAAGCATCTGTGATCACATTGGCATTCTGTAAAATGATGGCTTTGGCAGCTTGTAGAATACTTTTCTACGAGAATGATTTCAGCAGAAACACTTCGAAGGAATAAAGTAATGCAACGTAACTGGAATAATAAGGTAACTGTTGTGGCAGTTCTACTTTGGTTCAACAGCTGTTGCGATAGGATTATAAATATGGCATCCCATTTGCAGATATCCATTGCTTTTACCTATAGACGTGATGGAGTTCTTGTTGGCTGCAAATACAGGGCAGTTGATAAGACATTTTCACAGGTTTGTGGTCCTCATTCCTTTTGCAATGCATGAAGTTTTGCTATATTGCTATTAATATGTATTTTTATTATGTATCAGGAGGCAAACACGGAGAAAATTTTTTATGGTCTGGATGATATAAAGCGTGCACATGATGTTATCATTGTATGTTCATGATGTCCGATTGGATTTTTAGTGGCATTTTTTCTTGGGAAAATTTGCATCAACCCATTTGATTCCATGTTTGCAATTTGATTGCTTGTTTATTATTATTATTATTATTATTATTATTTTTGGCATTTCAGGTGGAGGGTGAAATTGATAAGCTGTCCATGGATGAAGCTGGCTATCGTAATTGTGTCAGTGTGCCAGATGGTGCACCACCCAAAGTGTCCAGTAAAATCCCAGACAAAGAACAGGTTAGAACTATTTTGTATTTTCCCATGTTGCTAAAGGTTTTGGTCTCTGTGATGATCTATATTTGCTTATATACCACCACCAGATAGTAGTTTGTTAATCTGTGACCTAATGCCTGTGTATGTTCACTGTAAAGCTAGGATAAGAAGTATAACTATCTTTGGAACTGCAAAGACTATCTCGACTCGGTGAAGACTTTCTTCAGAAATCAATCTATTAACTTATTTTCTGAGGCTAGCAGATCACTTTACTGATTTTGTTCTGGCACATGGGAATAGGCATCTAGGATAATATTAGCAACTGATGATGATCATCCAGGTCAGGCTCTGGCCGAGGAACTTGCTCGTCGACTTGGTAAAGAAAGGTTTGTGCATCAGCATGCTTTAACTATTGTGAAATAAAATGTGACCATTCATTTTTTTTCCCATTTGATTTTATGCCATCAGATGTTGGAGAGTCAAGTGGCCAAAGAAGAATGATACAGATACTTGCAAGGATGCAAATGAGGTTTGTTATGGAATGCATGGGTTCATTTGACATATTCTTGAAATCAGTTCTTGGAACTTGGGTAGTCTTTTGTCATTATGTAATCAGCCCTTGTAACACCTTTTTTTTTGACCTACAGGTACTGATGTTTTTAGGTCCACAAGCATTGAGAAAGGTTATAGAAGATGCAGAACTGTATCCTATAAGAGGCCTTTTTTCATTCAAAGATTTCTTCCCAGAGATTGATAATTACTTTCTTGGAATACATGGTGATGAGCTTGGTATTCATACTGGATGGAAATCTTTGGATGATCTTTACAAGGTAAAATAAGTTTTATTGCATTATTCAATATTCCTTAGTTCATTGGTGAAGGTGGGTTCTCAAGAAGAGTTAGCTTTCTTTATTATAACAGTAATGCTTTTGCGTGCCTCATCACAGGTACTTTGCTCACAGAAGTTGAATTTGGCAATCTGTTGTCTTTGTTTACCATATGATACTATTTCATTCAATTTACTGTCAATATGTTCAGTACAGCAATGCCTTGATTTTGTCCTATAAATCTGTCTATACTCATTCTTTATCTGGCTAATTTTTAATTGAAAGTGGCTTATCCTTTTGTTCTGTGATCATTAAGTATCACCTGAACAGACTTACATGGCTAGTGAGCATAGAAAAGATGGCCTATAAGCTATGTGCCACATTGTTCAATTTTTCCCCTCTTTTTCTCAGGTTGTTCCTGGGGAATTGACTGTAGTAACTGGAGTACCGAATTCTGGTAAAAGCGAGTGGATAGATGCTTTATTATGCAATATAAACAAACAATGTGGGTGGAAATTTGTTCTGTGCTCGATGGAAAACAAGGCAAGCCATTGTAGTATTTGATTGATGTCAGTTAATTAACTAAACGTCATTGGACACTTCCAAACAGTTTTGTCTTTGGTGTTTAGGTGAAGGAGCATGCTAGGAAACTCTTAGAGAAGCACATTGAGAAACCATTCTTTGATGCTAGGTAAGTCAGTCTGCAATTGGTGTTTGAATTTGTCTTATTAGTGATCCCTAAAGAGAATGATTATCTTTTAGAGGACCGTTAGTATTTCACTGTGTTTATTTGGTTATAAGATGGTAAAGTTTAGTTGGTTAAGCAATACTTGTTTTTGTTAATGCAGGTATGGTGGGGATGCACAGAGGATGACTCCTGATGAATTTGAAGCAGGAAAACAATGGTTAAATGAAACTTTCCATCTTATTCGGTATTTATCAAATCTGACAGCACAAATCACTTTCTAGAGTCTCTTAGTTTTATGTAGTAATGCAATAGTTACCTTCTCTCCACTCATATGGTTCTCTTGAAGGATGACATATGTCTTCATATTTAGAGGTTTCTTGTTACAGGTGTGAAGATGATAGCCTTCCATCTATTAATTGGGTTCTTGACCTTGCAAAAGCTGCAGTTCTAAGACATGGAGTGCGTGGTCTCGTGATTGATCCTTATAATGAACTTGACCATCAGCGCCCCTCAAACCAGTAAGCATTACCTTTGGCTCTCCTAAGCATGATGGCCGTTTACAGATTTGCTGATAATTGTTATTAAAATGCATTATTAAAGATAAGCAACTTTTGTCCAAGAGTTTCTACTTATTATGGCTTTGTATTTATGTGTGTGCATTTCCTTTTTTTCTGGCAACTCAACAGGACGGAAACAGAATACGTCAGCCAGATTCTTACCAAGGTTAAGCGCTTTGCTCAGCACCATTCATGTCATGTATGGTTTGTTGCGCATCCTAGACAGGTAATCAAACTGTACATAACACTTATTAGTTTTGGTGACATAAAATGAAGTCTTGGAGTTGATGTTTTGTATAGCTTCATAACTGGAATGGAGGCCCACCTAATATGTATGACATAAGTGGAAGCGCACATTTCATAAACAAATGCGATAATGGAATTGTCGTCCACAGAAACAGGGATCCAAATGCTGGCCCCCTTGATGTTGTGCAGGTTATTTTTGCTCTCATTTTTACCCTTGATTCCATGGGATTTGTTTCATCATTTATTTTATTTTTTTGCAAAGAAATCTAATCATGTGCCTACCTGTTGTTCTATTACCTGGGGTGTTATCATAGGTTTGTGTGAGGAAGGTGCGGAATAAAGTGATTGGACAAATAGGAGATGCTTTCTTGACATATGACCGGTGTGTTTTTATTTTCTATATTGAAGTTTCTTGAGCATGGATTTTGTCATTAGCTTTGATTCTATATTTACCAACATTTCTTTACCCAAGTCTTCAAACAGCATGTCTCAGTGAATCACCAAATTCAACCTTTGTTTCCAACACAGGGTTACTGGTCGATATATGGATGCTGGTAAATCCACTATAGCAGCTGTAACAGCAGTGCAAAAGCGGCAAAACAGTTATGCAAAGAGTAAAAAGGACAATGTGGCATATGAGATGCCATTTCCACATCCTGTTGTAGACGACTTGGTTTCTGGTGAAGACGGTGGGAATAGTTTTGGTCTCTGACAGTGCATAAGAAAGTCATGTTCCTGCTGCTTTGCTGTACTTGTATCAATCAACGCAAGTGAGATTACACGATTGTTTCTGGGGATGGCCTGTTGGAGCTCAGGTAGTCCTCATTGATGAACTGGATTGGAAACCCCAGGTTTCCTCTGATTCCTGCTGCAAATGAGGTTGAAAGCTAAACTTACTCAGATGCACACAAGACATTGGCGAGTTGGTGTATAGTATTAAGCTTATGTAGATTAATTGCCACACCAGGTCCTAGACCATGAACATTTGGGTGGGTTATATCAGTAGGTAAACTATAGCGGCTATAGGGTAGTAAGGTTAATCATGCAGGCCTTTCCAAAAATTGTAGCAGCTGGAAGGGTTTTTCCTGTTCACGCATCTCAGCACCTGACCAGGAACCTGTCTTTAATTTGCCCCAACCGCGAATTCAGGTGTTTGTTTGGCACATGCAAAGCAATCTACCGACCATGTGCTGAACATTTTGAATTGGGGACCGTCTCCGTCAATCTGTTTTGTAACTGGACCAGCCCTGCTGTGCTGTGCAGCTGGAACAATTAGAATGAATGAATGCTTCCAAAATCTCAGATCATTTGCACCTTTTCCCCTGTGCATTGTTTAGAATTGTGGATTCGGCTCTTTTCTTGTCATTTTGGCTGGCTCTGCTTGGCAACCAGCTGGACATGGGAGCAAAAGCCAGGAGGCTGGCTGTGACTGGCAATGGCAATACCACAGGGCAGCTCCTGGTCGGTTCCGCCGCTAAGCACAGGTGTACATACATCTTTTGCAGCTGCGTAATGCACTAATCTGCCCAATGTGAAGTTGTAATTGGCAAACCAGGCCAGCTTGGAAATGCAGCATAATTGCACACTAATTCCTATACTATGAAGCTGTGAACGTACTCTTTGTGTCTTTGCCATTGTGCCTTCGCCTTTTAACTGCATAGCTGTCCAGTCAAAGAGCAAGGCTGTCAGATTACCAAGCAGCCCCCACAAAAAGGGGTGAGACAACACACAACAGCCTAGCACAGGCACAGGCACAACTGCACAACCCCATCTCACCTCTCTATAGCCTCTGCAGCAGCCTTGCTGTTGCAATGCAGCACAAGTAAACAAACAACAGGTAGCAAGCAGCTAGCCGTTGGCAGTTTTTTTTTTTTTATGAGAAGCCGTTGGCAGGTTGGCTGGGGGCTGGCCATGCACCGCAAAAGCAAAGGGAGTTCCAAAGCAAAGCCAGCCCCAGCCGCAGCCCACGGGCCCCACGAGCTCAACGGCCCGACCCAACGGCTCCCTCCCTCGCCGCCCGCCTACCTGTCGCCACCCCATTGGCCCCCACTCCGTAGCCATTACGCCCTCACTATATAGCCGTTTAGCCCTTTCTCCCTCCCCCATCCACTCTCTCTCTCTCTCTCTCTCTCTCTCTCTCTCTCTTACAACCTCTCCCCTCCTCGACACCGCCGCCGTGAAATCCACACACACGCGTGCTTCCTGACGAGTTGTGAGCTGTGATCGTGAGTGAGCGCCATGGCCGTGTCTGGAAATGGCGCCGAGGCGGTGGCGCCGGCGCCGGCGAAGGAGGTGAGCACCAAGGAGGCGGTTGCGGTGTCCAAGAACGCGTCGTTCAGGGAGGAAAGCAGCTTCCTGGACGATCTCAAGGACAGCGAGCGTAAGGCGCTCGCCGAGCTCCGTGACAAGGTCGAGGCGGCAATCGTGGAGGGCAAGCTGTTCGACGACGGCGGCAAGCCGGAGGTGGGAAAGGAGAAGGAGGAGGCCAAGAAGAAGGCTGAGAAGTCCATGGAGAAGAGGAGGAGGCCGAAGCCGAGGAGAAGGTAGAGGAGGATGGCAAGAAGGAGGCCGACGCCGAGGAGGAGAAGAAGGAAGGCGAGGAGGAAGGGGAGAAGAAGGAGGCCGAGGAGGAGAGTGGAGAAGACACCAAGGAGGAGGCCAAGAAAGAGGAAGCCGCCGAGAAGGCGGCGGCGAAGGAGGAGGATGAGGAGGAGAAACCGGCTGAGACGACGGCGGCCGTCGTCATCGACAAGGACATCGCGCTGTGGGGCGTGCCTCTGCTCCCGAGCAAGGGAGACGAGGCAACGGACGTGGTGCTGCTCAAGTTCCTCCGCGCGCGCGACTTCAAGGCCGGCGCCGCGTTCGAGATGCTCCGCCGCACGCTCCTCTGGCGCAGGGACTGGACCAGCTTCAGCGTCGACGCCGGCGCTGACGCCGACGCCGACCTCCCCGAGGAGCTCGCGGGCGCGTGCTACCTCGACGGCGCGGACCGCGAGGGCCACCTGGTGTGCTACAACGCGCTGGACGTGTTCGCGGACGACGCCGTGTACAAGAACGCGCTGGGCACGGAGGAAGGCAAGGCCAGGTTCCTCCGGTGGCGGGTCCGCGCCATGGAGCTCCACGTCGCCGAGCTGGACCTGAGGCCCGGCGGCGCCGCGTCGCTGCTGCAGGTGACCGACCTCAGGAACTCGCCGGGCCCGGCCAAGAAGGACCTCCGCATCGCCGTCAAGCAGGTGCTCGACCTGTTCCAGGACAACTACCCCGAGCTCGTCGCAAGAAACGTGAGTGTGCTCATCGACCATCGATCATCGATCGGGTAGAAATAGAATTTCTCTGCCGAGTTATTTAATATGGTTTCCACCTGCAGATCTTGATCAACGTGCCGTTCTGGTACTACGCGTTCAGCGCCCTGTTCTACCCGTTCCTGACGCAGAGGACCAAGAGCAAGTTCGTCGTTGCTCGCCCGTCCAAGGTCACCGAGACCCTCCTCAAGTAAGTGGTAAAACATGTCTTGCTGCCAATCTTGCAAGAAGCAATGTCGAGCATATTTTGTGCGTAAATGTGCGGAATATTTTGATGAACATGGTACACCTTTTTTCTGAAGGTACATTCCGATTGAGGCCATCCCGGTGAAGTACGGCGGCCTGAAGCGTGACGGCGACACCGAGTTCTCCGCGGACGACAGCGAGGTCACGGAGGTCACCATCAAGGGAAGCTCCACGCAGACCATCGAGATCGAAGCCACTGAGGTACAGCGCTGACACATGAATGAATGAATGAACAAGAAGTTTCTTCAGACAATGCGGGTTGGGACTTGGGAGAGTTGCTGAATGACACGGCCGTTTCGTTTCGTTGCAGGCTGACACTACGCTGACATGGGACCTGACGGTGCTGGGGTGGGAGGTGAACTACAAGGAGGAGTTCTTGCCGGCGGACGAGGGCTCCTACACCATCATCATCAGGAAGGGCAAGAAGATGGGGTCCGGCTAGGAGGCGGTCCGCAACTTGTTCCGCGCCGGCGAGCCAGGCAAGGTGGTGCTCACCGTCGATAACACCTCGCACAGGAAGAAGAAGGTGCTGTTCAGGCACAAGGCCAAGAGCGCCTGCGCCAAGAAGTGTTGAGAGGCTCGGTAGAAACATGGATGGAATCGAATTGTTTGAGGCTGGGATTTGGGAGTGAGATTGATTGTGGATTCGATATTCATTCATTGCATTCTTTGTATGTAAGAGAGAGAGATAACATTATTTGGTGATTATTTGAGGTGGTTGTTCCGGCAAGAATACAAGGAGTTTCGATTGAGGAATTGTGAAATATCACAAAAGTTTCTTGTGAAAGATGCGGGAATTGTGAAAAGTGAGTGGTGTCAGACTTAACAAGCACTCTGCGTTAGCAAACTTAAGCAAAAACTTGTTGGGTCCCAAAACCTTGCATTCTTGTTTTTTCTTCTCATATGTTGTATTCGCGCTCATCCGAAACCCCATCGCTCCAAGCCTCCCCAAATCCGGTTCCCAGCAAAGACTTTCATTTGCTTGCTGGCATTGGCATGGAAGGAAGCTGCATAACTACCCTGCATTAACAAAGTGTCAGTTCAGCCAAAATGGAAGTCACCACTGAAAGTTTCTAAGATAAACTGTGGTTTCGTCAAAGAAACAAGTCTAGGAGGGTGGGGATTCATCATCCGGTTTTCAGAAGGTGTAGGGCGGGCGAATTACTTGCAGAGGCTCTGGCATGTCTCAGAAGGTTGGAACATGCCTCCTCGCTCAGTATGGGGTTTGTGGTTGGAGACAGATGAGATCACAGCGGGGAAGCAATACGCGCTCCAAGCCATGATAGATCGGTGGTCTCTCCAATTCTTAGTGAAATCAAGGCTCTGATTTCCTCTAGATTTAATACTTCTTTGTCTCCTACTGTCCTAGAGCTTGAAATTCTACTGCTGACAATCTAGTGGCCATAAGCATGAGTTGTTTTAACAGTCCAATTGTATGGCACACCAAACTGTGATTTAATTGGTTTCCGTCAACTTATCCAGAAGCTATGTTTAATGTAATGATAATGATACAATTAAGACGTCCGGACGGACGGACGCCTCCCGCTCACTGCACGCGCCCTCGCGCCAACAACCCTATTCGATAGTCCCGTCCGTGCGGCCCGATGCTCGCTGCGCCATTTCCCTGCGTCGTCGTGCCCATCCACCCACCCCACTCCGCCTCGCCGCCGGTCCCCGGCAGCGCCGCGCCCCATTCCCTACGGCCTCCTCCGCGCCACACTCGGGACACACACAGGCCACGCTCGGCTTCCTTCTGCTGGCCAGCCAAGCCCAGAGGAATTCGGGCAACCTATCACGCCAGCACCTAGCGCCCATTCCACAACTGCTTAATTTCTCCTTCCAGACCAGGACAGCATGGCAAACAAGCATGGCCTTCTGACCTTAAAAGTTTACCCTGGACTTGAGAACCAACAGATGATAGTACTATTTCTTTGGCATGTTCTAGTTGCAAAACTAAATCGAAGGAGATGAAAACATACAGAAATAACGCGTCAATTAAAAACTTCAGCAAACTGCCGATGCACCATCATTTAACAGGATGAATTCTCTAATACCACATAAACCACTTGAACTGCTGCATAAGGCATAGCAACAGTCAGTTTAGCTACCTCACCTCATGGTAATAACAACTTGGGGACAACCATAATACAAAAGGAAATGCAGTTTTGTCACAGCAACATCGCATCCATAAGCAATACCACCCATCTAGTACAGTACCTAGCATCACCACACACACCTCAATCAACTCATACTGACTAACAGCGATACAAGGGATATCATATCTGTACCAAGCACTGCAGAGGACGGCTTAGGCATCATGCTCTTCCTCTTCTTCCTCCTCGTACTCCTCATCATCCTCAGCAGTGGCATCCTGGTACTGCTGGTACTCGGCCACCAGGTCGTTCATGTTGCTCTCGGCCTCGGTGAACTCCATCTCATCCATGCCCTCGCCTGTGTACCAGTGCAGGAAGGCCTTCCTCCTGAACATGGCCGTGAACTGCTCGCTGACCCGGCGGAACATCTCCTGGATGGAGGTCGAGTTGCCGATGAATGTGGAGGACATCTTCAGCCCGATGGGTGGGATGTCGCACACGCTCGACTTCACGTTGTTGGGGATCCACTCCACGAAGTAGGAAGAGTTCTTGTTCTGCACGTTCAGCATCTGCTCATCCACTTCCTTGGTGCTCATCTTGCCACGGAACATGGCAGACGCCGTGAGGTAGCGGCCATGGCGAGGGTCAGCAGCACACATCATGTTCTTGGAGTCCCACATCTGCTGGGTCAGCTCTGGTACGGTGAGGGCGCGATACTGCTGGGAGCCCCGCGAGGTCAGTGGAGCGAACCCAACCATGAAGAAGTGGAGACGTGGGAAGGGGATCAGGTTCACAGCAAGCTTCCGGAGGTCAGAATTCAGCTGACCAGGGAAGCGAAGGCAGCACGTAACACCACTCATGGTTGCAGAGATCAGGTGGTTGAGATCACCAACTGCGCACACAAAAAAAAATGTTAAAGAACATGCTTATGTCTGTACAGAAATAACAAGCTGATTATGATAGTGGCATATTACTCCAGGATTTTAAGACAATAATATGAACTAGATCACTGTCAAGTCTGGAGTAAAAACATCAGCCCCCTTCAACATTACATACAAGTTGAACGATTTACTAGCTCAATGAACACATGTATAACAAATGAACTATGAAAAATATGCTGGAAATATACAGAGGACAACACAGACAGATAATAATGCATTTGCTACACTGCAACAACAAATAACCAATAAGCATGGGTACAAAGTATATTCAAAGACAACTCTGCATATACTTCGTTCCAGGCAATAAGAAACAAGTGCCATGCACATTTCATAACACTTCTGAAATTACATGTATATAACAAGCAGAATGGTAAATGTACCAGAAATATACAAGGTAGATAATGCATGTGCTACACTACATCAAATGTATCATTAAACATGTTTGCAAACAATTAGTTTCCTTATGCTGCATTCCAGACAAAATCAAATGAGTGCTATGCACATCATAACAGTTCATGGGGTGGTTACAACCCATATGTTTTATTACTAACAGGTTTTCAGCATCATTTTGTAGTGACCATTTACACAAGCAGAATGGAAAATGTGTACTGGAGACATACAAGATAGAATGTATGTGCCAGATTTATGGCAGCAAATAGTCAATAAACATGTTAGCAAAACATAACTAGTCTGCTTGTGCTGCATTCCAGACAAAAAGAAATGAGTCCTATGCATATCATATCACTTCCTGGGGTTACAACCCATATGTTTATTATTAACAGGTTTTACAGCATCATTTTGTAGCTGATCAATTTACATACATGTATATATAGCAAGCAGAATGGAAAATGTGTACAGGACACATACAAGATAGAATGTATGTGCCAGATTTATGGCAGCAAATAGTCAATAAACATGTTAGCAAAACATAACTAGTCTGCTTGTGCTGCATTCCAGACAAAAAGAAATGAGTCCTATGCATATCATATCACTTCCTGGGGTTACAACCCATATGTTTATTATTAACAGGTTTTACAGCATCATTTTGTAGCTGATCAATTTACATACATGTATATATAGCAAGCAGAATGGAAAATGTGTACAGGAGACATACAAGATAGAATGTATGTGCCAGACTATGACAACAAATTGTCAATAAACATGTTAGCAAAACGCAGTGAACTTATCTGCTTGTGCTGCATTCCAGACAAAAAAGAAATGAGCGCTATGCATATCATAACACTTTCACGAGTTACAACCCACATATTTATATCAATAAATGTTTTTGGCGCAATGCATAAACAGATAAAGCACTGCACCATCAATTTGCAAAATACAAGCAAACAGACTAGAACACGCCAAATAAATATCAACAACAGAATCTGATAGGATACAGATGCAAAAATGGAACGTGTTACGTCAAGCAAAAGAGCATTCAGCACTTACAGGTAGGTGTAGCAAGCTTGAGCGTGCGGAAGCAGATGTCATAGAGAGCCTCGTTGTCGAGGACCATGCACTCATCTGCGTTCTCAACAAGCTGGTGGACAGAGAGCGTGGCGTTGTAGGGCTCCACGACAGTATCAGACACCTTGGGCGACGGGAAGACAGAGAATGTCAACATCATACGGTCAGGGTACTCCTCCCTGATCTTGGAGATGAGCAGGGTGCCCATTCCTGAACCAGTACCTCCTCCCAGCGAGTGGCAGACCTGGAACCCTGCAGTACAAGGGAGAAAATGCATCATAATCGATCACTAAGGCTGTCAGGCGTCTAGCGCAGCAATCACTGAGAAGTACGATAATTCTACAACAAAATCCGCTCAATTCGTCGAAAATGTCACGAACCGCTTAGATCTATGCAAAATCGTTCAGATCTACAGGCACAGCGCAAGCGCAATGGCGCATAAACCCTAGATCCATGAGTGCGCGTGTCTCCATAACCCCGGTGGGGAAAGGGGAAAAAACATCAGATCCGGTGGGATAGATAGACCAGGGCTTACCTTGGAGGCAGTCGCAGTTCTCGGCCTCCTTGCGCACGACATCGAGCACGGAGTCGATGAGCTCGGCGCCCTCGGTGTAGTGTCCCTTGGCCCAGTTGTTGCCGGCGCCGGACTGGCCGAAGACGAAGTTGTCGGGGCGGAAGATCTGGCCGAAGGGGCCCGAGCGCAGGGAGTCCATGGTGCCGGGTTCGAGGTCCATGAGGACGGCGCGCGGGACGTAGCGTCCGCCGCTGGCCTCGTTGTAGTAGACGTTGATGCGCTCGAGCTGGAGGTCGGAGTCGCCGGCGTACTTGCCGGTGTGGTCGATGCCGTGCTCGTCGCAGATCACCTCCCAGAACTTGGCTCCGATCTGGTTCCCGCACTGCCCGCCCTGGATGTGGAGGATCTCCCTCATGGCGACGGGTCGGCGGGGGGCTGGCTAGGGTTCCGGCGAGGCGAGGCGGTGGGGTTTGGGGGAGGCCGAGCGCGGAGACGGCGGACTGGCGGAGGAGTGTGTGTGACGAGGGGAGAGAGGGGTGGGGAGAGAGAGCCTTTATTGGAGGAAGGCTCTGTGCGGTGGGGCCATTTTGAAATCGTTTCGTGCGGGGCGCGTTTGCGGACACGTCCCTGTAGAAAGCGCTAATCCCCTTCGCCCGTAGCGTGGGTGGTTGGAGATTTATCCGACGGCCGGGATTCCCCGTCGGCACTAATCGTAAAGCCGTTGGCACGGTCACACAGCACGATTAGTGAAGCGCTGCCGTTACAGTTCTGCTAGACAAGATGTAGCAATTGTCTGTTTCGAATGCGAGACAAATTACTCGCTCCTGACCAATTTCAAAATAGCACTTGAAATAACTGCGCCTTAAGTTTAACTAAATCCATCGTCCTTCCGTATCAAAACAACTGTACATCTGACCTCTAAAGAAATCAAAACCTTTTAAATTTGACTAAATATTTACAAAACAATACTAATGTTTATGATATCATTAGATTAACTATGGAATATACTTTATAATATACATAATCTTATTTTATTTGAGGATATAAATATTAATTTAATATTATTTTCTACATGTGTCATGTGCAGTTATTTTCGAACATATGAAGTACAAAAAAGTATCAATATTTCTGATATGAAATAAACATGATTAGATTTGGCAAGCAATTTATTCTCATAATACATCTATCTATCTGATATTTTCTCTCTGTAATTTTGATTAAACTTTAAATAATTTAATTAGAGACAGAACTAAAATTACATAGGATACAGGTAGTGCTCCGTAGGATATTTTCCTCGCACACTACTGCAAAAAGGACAAAACGGAATCAAAGCAAAGGAACGCTGCAATATAGCCAATGCGTATGCCACATATGGCTTCACCAAAAGGGGCTAGTGACCGTATCGTCGTTTTGGACCGTGACCGTTTATGTATCTTTCTGTGTCTACGACAAGTATATGTTTCCCCTGCAATGCAAAACGAAGGAACACTCTGAACGTTTTTTTTTCTGAACATTTGTCCTCTGAATCTGGATGAAAAAGAAGAACAAAAGGTGTGTCGCCGACGATGCGATGGTGATGCGCCAGCGACCGTACGGTTGGAAAGGTGCAAGGCGCCACCGGTGGCATCACGATCCACATGAGCTAGCATCGCAATTCGCACCGAGCAGAGCAAGAAGGCCCACGAAAGCGCACGCGTGGCGCATCACGTGTCCCGTGAAAGCGGACGGGCGCCGGGGACCGGGACCGGGACCGGGACCGGGCGCACGTATCTGTAAATTGTATCGCCACGGCCGGCCGGCCGGCCGGTGAGCTGTCCGCTTCGCCCAGATCTCTGCACTTGCAAGTTAGGTATATACCTGGATTGCACTCCAAGCTACGCTACATCGCTATACGTACCATTATATTAGCTGAGCTTCAGCCTTCAGACCCTTTAGCAGCCGTACTTGATCGAGGAATGGCAGCGTCTTTACTGTGCCAAATTTGATTGGTGACAGTAAAGCCATTTGCCAGCCCTCTTGCATTTTTCTTTCTTTCGTCAAGAGAATGATGGCGATCCTTATCAAAAAAGAAAAAGAAAATAAAAAGAAAAAGATGGCAATAGTTCAGCGCCATCCTCTTCAATGTCGACCGAGCGTGCGAAACCAAGAAACGCCGTGACGACCCAGCAGCAGTAATTCGCCGGTTTTGGCTGGCATTTGATGAACTGACCAATAAATTTGGGCTCTGTTTCTACGCGCGCGCGCGCGTTACATAATTCCCACGCGTAGTATAAACCACGGCCACCGAGTCGCAATGCAATGTACCGCCTCGATCTAGCATTCTAGCTGCAGCCGCGGCAAAATCGCATCGGCCTCCCTCTCTCTCGACCAGCCGTCGTCGTCGACGTCGAGGGCCCCCAGCTAGCTCGGGTCGTCGCCGTACACCGGACCGGAACCAATGGCCCGCGCCGTCGCCGCGCTCGTGCTGTGCGCGGCGGTGCTCGTCGCGGCGGCTCACGCGGGGCGCGTCCTCCAGTACCAAGCGCTCGAGGCCGGGCTCGACGAGGCCGCGGCTGCCCTGGCGCCGCTGGCCGCCGCGTCACCGCCGGCGTCGGCAGACGTGGCCGCGGATGCGGGCGGCGTCCGGGACGACAGGGAGGTCCGGGAGAGGGGCGGCGCGATCGGCGACGTCCTGTGGTTCGTGCTGCAGTGGGCCAACGAGGCTGCATCCGGCGACAGGCGGAAGGCCTACTGAGCTGGTCCGCGAGTGGATGAAAGGAGATGATAATAAACGCGCGTGTCGATCGATTTGGCGTTTATAGCAACACAGTTTCTTTTATTAGTTTTCATCAGTAGCAACAAATAAGAATTGCTATCTGTTGCTTTCTGTCTACTGCATTGTCTATGTTCAGTTTGTTTTCTATCGGACTTCGGTGACTAAAAAAACAGTACACAAGGGCCTGTAGCATGAGTTGCTGCGGCTGCTTGTTAACATAAACTCTGTAGCACGAACGGTATAATATAATATATGCAGAAAAATTGTTTAGGAGACGAGACAGTCTGTCTTTGGTGTTTTGGTTTGATCATAATACTGCTAAGAGCTTAAGAAATTGGCCTCCACCGGCTCACCTCCTTCCTCTCTCTCTCTCTTTTGCTCCATCCATAGCATGATTTTTCTAAATACAATTTTTTACTATATATCTAGAATAGTGTATATAAATGCATAACAAACACTATATATCTAGAAAATTCCAAAAAAATCATATAATTTGAAATTGAGGGAATATCTTCTTCTCCCGCTCCACCGCCGCCCAACTTTGGTGGTGCTTATGTTGCCGCCTTTACTAAATTGAAGCTCATTTCTCCTTCTCTGAGCCGAGTGGCTCCATCTCCTGCCACCGCTGTTAATCCTAGCCCCCTCTTTATTATTTGGGTGGATTCCCTCGCCGTCAACACCGGCCTCTCCCACTGCCCCGACGGTTGGCGTCCTCGCCTCCCCATCGCGCCGCCGTCTTAACTACCGCCATCGATAGTCCGGTGGCCTCCCCAGAAGCCCTCTTTCTAAGTCCACAGCCATGAAAACCAGTGAAGTCTTCATCTCCCAGTGTGTTGTCTCCAGTCATGTCAAATTGTTTTTTCTGTCTTCGAGTGCGTGTGTGTTGAAGTGCCTTTGCTTGCGCGTGTGCAAAGAAAAAAAACTGTTTAGGACAAAAGATCGTAAGTCTTTTGGTGTTTTGATTTGATCATAATATTGCTAACAACTTAAGTTCAAGTACATTTTGTCCTAACCATGGCCATTGGCAGGAAAAACATAGACATTTGCGTGTTCAAGTAGCTTGCTTTTGGATGAGATATAAATGTGGAAAGAAGTGGAAAAATTCCTTCGCCCCAGTCACTTGTGTAGTGTGCATTTCGTCTCTCAAATGGTTCTCTTAGTACTTTTGCACCACAACTATTAGCACTAAGTAATTTTTGGATCTCAAGTGTTTTCTTAAAAAAAAAAACTAAGGGGAGCAAAAATAAGCAATTTTAGTTAGTGGGTCCTAAATTTATCTATGAACTCCTAATAGTTATGTCTCCTAAAGTTCTAACCCGTGCAAGAGCAATCGATCACTAAACCAATATATTTTGCTTCAAACCGTTTTTCACGGTACTAAATTAAGGTACGGCAAACTTCAAATCCATTTTAACCTCTGTTCCCGGTGACATATGGCCTTGGACGTCCCGGCAACTGCACGGTAGGCCGTTGATGAACCCTCAGAAGTCGATTATCATATATCAGCATCCCAGCTTTTGCTAAGTTTAGCATTGTCCTAGCGAGCAGTTCAGGGCCATGTCCATCAGTCCATGGAGGACTTGCTGTTTTTTTTGAGAAAATCAGGTTGCATTTACTGATTCATATAAAATATTACACATACATCCTTACAAAGACACCTCTGAATAAAATAAAAATTACATCCTGGTCCTTGCAAAGATCTCTTGGTCATCTTCGTCGCCAGAGAATGGAGCCACCACTCGACGTTGAAATGAACGCCGAGCTTGCAGCTTGAAGCCGAATCCCACCTCAACGAAGAAGCTTCCAAAGAAGCAACATACTGTTTTGAAGCTATGTCAATCGGCACATAACAAGATGTGCACCTTAAACGCTGAACTCCCGAGCAAATGATGGCCAGCGGCCATATCCTCGCCAAGAGTACGGATGAAAGGTCCTAATGGCTAGAGAGGGGGTGAATAGCCTAATAAAAATTTCTACAACAACACTTAGCAAACTGGTTAAACAATTATGAGGCGAAGCAAGTGTTGCGCTAGCCTACTAAAATTGCAAGCCACCTACCACAATTCTAGTTGATATAGTTTCTATCCACACAATAGCTATGTCACTACACTAAGTTAGTGTGCTCTCAAAGGCTAACTAAAGAGCCACACTAACCAAACTAACAATCTCTCACAACTAGCTACACTAAAGAGCTTGATAACTAGTTTGCAGTAATATAAAGAGAGTGAGCAAGAAGGTTATACCGCCGTGTCGAGGAAGAAGCCAATCAATCACAAGAATGAATAACAATGAAGATCAATCACCTCAGAATCAAATGATGAACACAATGATTTTTCACCGAGATTCACTTGCTTGCCGGCAAGCTACTCCTCGTTGTGGCGATTCACTAACTTGGAGGTTCACGCGCTAATTGACATCACACGCCAAACCCTCTATAGGGTGCCGCACAACCAACATAAGATGAGGATCGCACAAGCCACGAGCAATTCACTAGAGTACCTTTTGGCTCTCCGCTGGGAAAAAGTCAAGAACCCTCACAAGCATCACGATCGGAGCTGGAGACAATCACCAACCTCCGCTCGACGATCCTCGCTGCTCCAAGCCATCTAGGTGGCGGCAACCACCAAGAGTAACAAGCGAATCCCGCAGCGAAACACGAATACCAAGTGCCTCTAGATGCAAACACTCAAGCAATGCACTTGGATTCACTCCCAATCTCACAAAGATGATGAATCAATGATGAAGATGAGTGGGAGGGCTTTGGGTAAGCTCACAAGGTTGCTATGTCAATGCAAATGGCCAAAGATGAGAGCTTGAGCCGGCCATGTGGCTTAAATAGAAGCCCCCACGAAATAGAGCCATTGTACCCCTTCGCTAGGCACAACACGGGGTGACCGGACGCTCCGGTCATATCGACCGGACGCTGGACCTTAGCGTCCGGTCACGCGATGCGTGCCACGTGTCCCCTCTCTTCAAATGTTGATCGCCCGATCTCAACGGTCAAGTGATGACCGGACGCAGCAGCTCAAAGTGATCGGACGCTGAACCCCAGCGTCCGGTCGTTTCTAGTAAGCATCTAGAGATGACTTTTCACGACCGAACGCGTCCGGTCATGCTCGACCGGACACACCCAGTGTCTGGTCACACAGCGACTCCCTCTGCGCTGCCACGTTAGCATGACCGGACGCAACCCTCTAGCGTTCGGTCACTAAACGACCCAGCGTCCGGTCAGAGACCGACGCCAGCGTCTTCGCGACTTCCACTGACTGGACGTACGACTCCAGCGTCCGGTCACTGTGTGACCAGCATGACCAACTCCTTTTCAACTCTATCTTCTTTACTCTTGCTCAAATGTGCCAACCACCAAGTGTATCACCTTGTGCACATGTGTTAGCATATTTTTACGAACATTTTCAAGGGTGTTAGCACTCCACTAGATCCTAAATGCATATGCAATGAGTTAGAGCATCTAGTGGCACTTTGATAACCGCATTTCGATACGAGTTTCACCCCTCTTAATAGTACGGCTATCGATCCTAAATGTGATCACACTCACTAAGTGTCTCGATCACCAAAACAAAATGGCTCCTACCATTTATACCTTTGCCTTGAACCTTTTGTTTTTCTCTTTCTTTTTTTCAAGTCCAAGCACTTGATCATCACCATGGCATCACCATCATCATGTCATGATCTTCATTTTTGCTTCACCACTTGGAATGTGCTACCTATCTCATGATCACTTGATAAACTAGGTTAGTACTTAGGGTTTTATCAATTCACCAAAACAAAACTAGAGCTTTCAATCTCCCTCTTTTTGGTAATTGATAACAACCCTTTCACAAAGATATGAATTGAAATTCAATTGAATTCAAGTTGCTTGCCCAAGCATATTTATCATGTGTAAAAAGATATGGACAAGTTTTATGAACTCCATATGGTAGCGATTGCT